GACCCTTCAGATCCAATTATATTCTTACAGGTAGAGACGTTTTCCGCCTCGGCTTCCTCCCAACCTCCACCCCAGCCTCCTCTTGATGTGTTGAAGCTTTTGGTTTTGTTGACTTTACTCTCGAATTAATAATGTAACTTTATCAGGGGAAGCTCTTCCAGTAGAATCCTCATTGGGTTTTTGGGAGCTCCCTCAAAGAGCAGAGCATTTTCTGCCAAATATAACTGTATAAATATTGGCTATAAATGGTCAATTTCTTGTGGGAAGTTTCTCTGACTGAACTGTGCAAGTTTCCACGAAGGAGGAATGATGATTTCTTCCTCACAGCACAACATAAATAATGACCTCATCCAATTTTTCATTAAGACTGGTGTCAAAGGAACAGTTCTTATCTTTTGAAATGGGGTTGTGTGTGGTTCTTACCCATAGTCTACATACAGTGAAAGTCAATTGGCCTGCTCCCAGTTTGGAGAAGCAGGCAGGAGCCCCGCCACGACAGCTTAGCAATGTACTGCTGTGGATGAGGGCGGCAGCAAAAGTATTTCAGCCATTAGACAGTGACTTCTGATTATATCACTGTCTTTGACTCCATTGAGAAAAACAGTAGTTTAACATTGCTGAACACAGGGGATGCTGGTCTAAGGACCCAGCTGGGCTAAGGTCTAAGGCTGGAGGCGGCTTTTTGTAATTGTTTTCAATGAGACTGAAGCTTTTCGCTCACATTTTTTGCGTTCAACACACCTCGCATTTCTGCGCTCCAGGCACCTGACTTTTTTGCCAGAGCGCTCTGAACTCCTCGACTTGAAAAAACTTCAACTCAGACCGGAAAAGCACCCCACGTCATCTCTTTTTTCCCATTGTCCAATCAGATAATTTTAGAGGCGGGCCCTCTGTGGTGGTCACGACAACAAGTTTACAGTTGGTAAACAATGGAGGAGATTAGTGGTAGCGGTTGGTGGATACCCAGAGCTATACGGCTTGACGATAAACAGCAGGTTGTCAAACTGCCCCTGAGTCATCCTAAAATATGCCTAGAAACGGCCATCATGGAGGTGAAGCTCCTGGACCAACTGGTGCTACTCCTCATGATCCAGCCTCTTTTTTAGGGACTCATGTACCCACACAGATCTCTGTTTCCCTGTGTCCAACAAACTATTTACTGACAGCCTCTCACCCTCAACCAGAGCTACAGCAAGTTCCCTCTGCCTCAACATTTTAGGAACTAGATACTAATTACTGTGAGAAAATACATAAAGGAAGGATAAGGACGTGATGAGGTGGTTGCCTGGCAACAATAAAAAGGTGCAGCAAGTGTTTTTTTACCAGTGGCTTTCGATTTAGTAACAAAAAAGACGGTGCAGTGTGCCTCCTGTTTTTTAACCTGCAAAACGCTTCCTGTGTGTTTGGGGCCTAAAGCTGCCTCGATCGGTTAGTCTGTTTGCATCATTGTGTGACTTGGTGTTTTCAAAAGGTTACTTCTGATTCACCTAAACAACACAATACGCTAACAAACTAACCAATCGAGGCAGCGGTAGACCAGCAGCTCCTGAGTTCAGTGAGCTAAAATAACAGTTGTGTTTTTTTTATGGAGTCTGGTGGCTTTGACGAGGGCATAGATGGGGAACTGAAGACGTTTACGGCTTCCCCTGTCGCAAAGGCTGTCTGATATTAAGGGAAAGCAGTGAAACTACTCTCAATATAGCATACACTTAAACTGATATAGATTTTTTAGGTGACTTAAATACATTTTGTTGCTGTCCCCATCCACAGCAGTACATTGCTTAGCTTCCGTGACGCTACTCCTGCCTGCTTCTCCAAACCGGGAGCATGCAGCCTGTCATCTACTGTATGTAATACACTGACTATGGATAAGTGCCTCATACAACCCCACTTCAGAAGATCTGAACTATCCCTTTAAGTATTTTTTCCAGCCAGGGTGACCTCTAGCTCACGTGATAGCACCCCATAAAGTCCCTGCAGTGGTCTGGGTTCAATTCCAGCCTTCGGCCCTTTGCTGCATGTCATCCCCCCTTCTTTCTCCTTCATTTCCTATCTATCTATCTGAGCTGTGCTATCAATCAACCCCATAAACATTGCAGTTGTAATACCTAAGGCTGTTTATAGATATGATATGTAAAAAAAATATGTTGTTTTTGTTGTTTTCAAAAACACTTTCATGCATAAAGTTGTGTAGAAACTTACTGGAAATGCTTGGTGGGTGGTATTATGACGCATACCATGTGCTGTGAACCCTGACCTTGACACCACTGACCCTGAGCTGAACCCTGACAAGGCCCGGAGGTCATCAGAGGGCATATTTCATGGGGATAGGGTTTGTTTTTTAACTGAGGAGGAGTTACACAGGGAGAGGCCCTTTTTGATTCATGGGGTCGTAACATTTCCTGTAGGCCGAAAACGAGTATACAAGTCTGGAGTAAAAATAGCAGGCTACTACATAAAAGAACACACTCACACACTCAAACACACACACACTCACTCAGAAAAATTCGTAATTCACCACAGATCCACTCTCAGCCAGCATTACATAAGGGGAAAAAAATGTGAGTCTCAAAAACAAAAGTGAGGATGAAAATCCACGGTGCAAGAACGTTTTTCATATCTGCCACAGCTGCAATTGGAGCCTGAGTTTAAGTTTTTCCCTTTACTTTAATGAGCTTTTCCTGTATGATCAGTTAAAAAATCCTGGATGTACTCGCTCCCCGATGGCCCTAAGTGTGACTCAGCCTCTGAAAGGCTCCACTGTGAGGATCAACACCGCTCACCGCACACTCTAGCACCCCTCCCACAGCGAGCACGGCGAGTCTATATCTGCTACATCACATGTAACATGCTTCAATTGACAGTACGGCAAAAATTGCGCTATCAAAGAGGATCAAAAGTATGGGAGTTTGGCGAAACAAATAACTAGTAGCAGGGTGAGTGTCGCTTTTCTACCGTGTATGTTCTTCATTATCTTTTCCAAGTAAACAGGTTCCTGAAACTTGTGCAGACAGATGGAGCGGTTGTGTTACAGTCTGCTTGGTGTTAAGTGAAAGATGTGTTGAGGGATACACTGAGCCACCAGCGTTGGCCTTAGGAGGCCCATTGCTGAGAGACAGAGAGAGACGGTCAGGAAATTGAGCCCATATGATGTTTTTCCACCGTCACAAAGGAGATTTAGGAGAGATACAAGGGGAGCCAAGAGAGCTGCTTTTCTGTGGGAGTGATGGAAAACAGGAGGAAGAGAGAGAGAGCTAGAGAGAGCAGCCCACGCCAAGAGAGAAAAGAAAGACAGAAAGTAGACGGTGAAAGGAGGCGAGTGTGAGAGACACTATCTACTCCTGCGTTTCATCTGTGGATGACATCATGCTAACCAAGTAGGAGTTGAATGCTTGAATGAACATGAGGAAATTAATTGCTACTTTCCCAATAAATCACTGCATATACCTTTTATGACATATCTATATCATTAAGTATTATTGCTCCTGAAGATGAATACGTGGACAAAAACAATCATCCTACTCCTGAATCCATTATCTTATCACTATCTGGCCTGACTGGTTGAAGAGAAGAATTATAACAGGAGCAATAACATAAAATTGTATGCCTTAAATACATCAAAGGAACACTTCACCCACAAAATGACAATTTCTATATTCAATTCAGTTTTATTTTTGAAGCCCAATATCACAAATCACAATTTGCCTTAGAGGGCTTTACAGCATACAACATCCCTCTGTCCTTGGACCCTCACAGCAGATAGGGAACCCAAAGTCACACAGGTTAGGTTTAGGAAAACATACATGGTCTGGGGTCATCACAGTTGTGTACTTAACGTAAAGTTAGGGTGCTTTCAGACCTAGAGTTGTCTTGCTTTGGTCTGAATCAGGGACTAATTTTGTTCCAAAGTTGTATAATTGCCTAGAGTTGGTTTGTGTTCTCACGGCAGCATTTACAAGCGGACCAGATCAAATGCCTTGCACGAGAAAGCGTTGAAGAATGTTGAAGAAGAGTTCACTTGCAAGATAAATGTGACACTTTCTAATGTCACAATGGAGGGACAACTACGCAGGTTGATTTTAGCGCTGCTCATCGTGGACTATATTGTTGTCATTGTTCATTTTAGTCAAAGCATACAGTTTGAAAACGAGGCGCGGCTCCAACTAGAAAACAATGTTTTGATGCATTGGATGTGCTGAATGTGCATATTAAGGCAGTACAGGAGGAGGTGCACATTAATAATCCTCCAGGACTGTAACATGCTCATGTTTAACCCAAACAATGTGTCATGTGACTGCAGTTGGTTCAGATCCAGGTCGGAACACGTTCTCACCACAAACGATCCGCACCAGTGTTCATTTGTAATCAGACCGAGACCACCTCTTCAAGAAGGTCTTGGTCTGTTTGTTTTGGTGCACACCTGAGTGTGATTGCTGTGTTCACACCTGCCCAAACGAACCGCACTTAGGGGCAAACGAACTTGAGTTCAATTGAACCGAACCAAATAGGGTGTGAAAGGTTAGGTAAAGGTAGGTAAGTTAGGTTTAGGAAAGGAAACAGATCAGAATCAGATAATTTATTGCCAAGTAGCTTCGCACTTTAAAGGAATTTATTACAGCTCAGAGTTCACCTGGCTTCACACTGAACACAAACACTGGTCTCCTGGGGAAAAGTCCTTTGCTTGTTTGACCCATCAGCTCCCCCAACCCCTCCTTATGTGAAGTTTCGCTCTTTATACTACTTTCTTCCTTACCCCTGTCAAGGCATTGGTTACATGATCACAGCCTTCCCAATTACATGGTTGTATATGAATTCTGGTGCATTACCTGTGAGAGGTACATGAGAACAGCCAGGAGATAATTTGGATGGTGACGTATTCCTTAAATTGCGTATATTGCTTGGATCTTTCTTGTTGTTTGTGGCATTTTTAAGGTGTTAAAATGACAAAAATGTGTTAGTGCAGGACAAATCTAACACTGATACTTCTTTTTCTTCCACAGTCACCTAAAGTGCGCCCTTATTCTGCAATGGACGGTGTCCCCTTCTTCCTCAGCAGAGTTAAACCTGAACCTCCAGAAGACCTGCTCGCTCACGACCTGCACTTCCACACACAGACCGAGCCCGTCGACCTGTCAATCAACAAACCCCGCCCCTCCTCTTCATCCACCACCCCCACCACCACCTCATCATCCTCCCCTCTCAGATCCGCTTTCTCCCCGTCTTCTTTATCGTCGTCATCCTCCTCCTCCTCCTCTCCATCGGTTATCACCTCAGCCTCATCGGTGCTCACGCCAGGCCCTCTGGTTGCCCCCGGAACCGGGGTGAGAGGTCAGCCGTATTTGCACATCCTGCACTCTGTGCCACCGCCTCCATCCAGCCCTCTGAGCCTGCAGGGAGCGGGGAAGCTGGCCAGCCATGTTCACCGCATCCCAGTTGTGGTACAGTCACTGCCTCTCATGTACACCACTGCCGTTCGATCACCCTCCAGCCTCAACAACGCCATCATGCTACCTCTGCTGGATGAGGTCAAAAGCCAGGGCAAAGGTGAGACCACGCTCTGTGAATTTACTCAATATTCTTATGACTGACTTTCCTTTTTTTAGAAATGCTGTGAATTCAAAGTTGCCAGCAGCTATTCAAAAGGAAATGATGATATTTTATGGCTCAGACATTGTGCCACTGCCTCATGACTTCCTAGTTTTACACTGCGACATAAGCTGTTTGACTTGACATAGACTTTCATGGACAGTTTCTTCACCCTTCCAAATGAACTATCTCATGGAAAATATTCAGCTTAAAGGAATACTTAACCCCAAAAATAATTTATATATCAGTGACTCAAGAAATGACGGCAGAGGAGAAACTCGCACACCAATACAACTGGGCTGGACAGCCACTGAAAAGGTTCGCAGGCTGAGATCAATATAATCCATACACAAAAGAAAGGTGCTCAAAGTGCAAAATATAATAAAAAGTGATTAAAAACAGCAGCAAACATTTCAGTCCTTGATGAGTGCTTCACAGAACAGATACAGACACACACAGATTACTACCAGGTGTGATGAATCAGTCAGCTGGTGCTACTAATTAGGTGAGATCAGCTCTGAGTAGCGGAGGCCTGGCTACCAGATTACAATGACCAGTCCAGTGAGTTTTTATATATATTTTTACTTTATTTTATTTTTAATTTTATTATTATTATTTTTTTTATTTTAAATATTATTTTTTTGTTTATTTGTGTACTTATTTACTGATATTTTTATCATTATTATTATATTATTTAATTATTTTATATTATTATTTTTTGCAGTTTTTTGCTGTTTATAGTTGGGTTTTGTACATTTGTATATGTCCTTCTATCATACATCAGTGTTTGAGGATGTTGTGAATAGTACAGTACTCATAGGGCATCATTATGATTTGGTAGAAATAAAAAGCTAAAAAGAAATAAAAATAAAATAATAAAAAAATAAAATTAAATTAAATTAAAAAATAAAATTACAAAAAATAAATGAATACAAAAATAAAATAAAAATATACTATAAATACTTATTGGACTGGTCATTGTGATTTGGTAGTCAGGTCTCTGCACCTTAGAGTTGATCTCCTGTAATTAGTGGCACCAGCTGACTCATTCATCACACCTGGTCGTAATCTGTGTGAGTCTATATCTGTTCTGTGAAGCACTCATCTCAGTAACACTGATGATAGTCAAGGACTGAAATGTTTGCTGCACCCTAATGTTTTTTTTTGCATGTATCTCAGCCTGTGAACCTTTTTGGTGGGTGTCCAGCCCAGTTGTATTGGGGTGCAGATATCTCTTCTGCCTTCCTTTCTTGGTTGTCCATACCAACACACCCAGGACAAACTTTTTTGTTGCCCCAAGAAGGTGCAGTTTCACAGCGGCCCTAAGACTATCAGTTACTCACCCTTTGTCATGTTGAATTTGTGAAGAAAACACTGGTTTTCTCACATGCCTTCACAGTGAACGAAGAATCCAAAAACTGAGAAAAATTTCCCACAACTTGTGTTGTATAATCAAGTCTCATTTATCCAGCCCTATGCTCAATACTCACCAAACACATGTATCTTAAAACGATCATTGAAAATACTTAAGCAGTCTTAAGTGCAGACAAATAAAGCACCTGAGCAAGCACATGCATTTGAACTCATGCATTCTGATGAAATCCCTCCTCGCAGCTGGTTCATTAACCAGGAGTTCTATCACTCATGCCCCCATTTACTTCAATTCATCAAGAATTTTCTCTATTTTTGAATTCTTTGTTCACCATGGAGGCATGTGACAAGTTTTCTTCACAAATTCAAGATAACACAGGGTTACAAATTGATATATAAATGATCATTTTGGGGGGTTTACTGTCAAACATGTTAAAAACATAAGGGAATGGCATTTGTTACCCAGGTCCAGCCGCGTACAGAATAAATAACATGTGAAAGAGACCTATAATGAATAATTATGTAACCTAAAAGCCTTTAATAAATACAACACAGTTAAAAAAGTGCGTAATAGATTCGCAGCAGTATAAGAAGAGGACAGACTTTAAGCCAAGCGTCTGGGTGGAAACTGCACTTTAGCCTCGTTGTTCGTGCATTGAGGCTTTGCAGCCATCTGCCTGAGGGGAGGGAGATGAATATTGCTTTAATCAATACAGTTGAATATTTTCATTTATCAATTATAACCATCACAATACGCTTCATCTATATTCCTGCTAAAGGGGTCATTAAGAGCCTCCCAAAGTGAATTAAAAAAAGGTACATGTCTGATGTGACTGGGTCAGAAACAAGGGATGACAAAGATGTCCACGCTGGCATCAGGCAGTGAAGACGTGGCTGCAATAGGTGTGTGATGTGGTTTGAGAAATCCCACTGACAAGCTGTTTATGTTGGTATATTTGTCTTCCCAGATGTCCTACTGTCTTCACTCAAAGAACTTGCACACACAACGCTGCGAGAGCTGACTGTGTGTGTACATACTTTTAGAGTCGGACCCTCAGGCGATGATGTTCCCCCTTCAGAGCGGAGATGAGTTTTACAGGTTGAAAGGATCTCCCGTCTTTAACTGACAGAGATTTTGCTCAGCTGTCTCAAATAGCCTCTGGTGCAGGTAACCAGGGCCACACCAGTTGTTGCCTCTCTTTCTACCAAGAAGCAAACATCCGGGGCAGTTTGAGTATTAGACCTCGCTGGCCTGGCAGAGACTGCGTTATTGGTTTTCTCTCTGGGTGTGGTTTTACTGCCAACCACTGGGAGTGAGCCTACAGTAGGTGTTTCTGTCCAACTCTGAGCCGCACACAGGCCCGCTGTTGGTTGTAAAAGAGGTTGCTTCTTGTGACTCCTTGCAGGACAGACGGAGACACTCGGACTTTAACTCACACCCATGCACACACTCAAGCAAACATGTGTAATTAGAGCAAGTAGTCAGAAAGACACTTGGTCGGCTCAGTGGGGTGGTCCCCTTAGAGATGGGCGTTTTATGTCTGCTCCCAAGGAGAGGAGAGGAAAGAAGGAAGGACAGGAAAAACAAGACTTGCATAAGAGGGTGTGGATGGATATTGAAGACGGGTGGCACTTACACAAACACACGCACGCACACACAAATGTACGCAGTCCGACATCAGCTCTGCCAGGCTCTGAAAGCACAAAACACAAAGGAAATGGGATGAATGTTGAACGCTGGGTGTGGTGGATGCAGTCACTTTTAATGACATCGCAACCAGGAGACAAACAGAACACTTAGCTATTTATTACAGGAACAGTGTGGAACATTTAGGGGGATATATTAACTGGAATATAATATAAGTATGTTTTGTTTAGTGTATAATCAAGAATTGTTGTGTTTTTGTTTTTTTTAACCAGGAAGTCCCATTGAGATTGAAAATCTCTTTACAGAGAGACCTGGCTGAGGTAGCAGCCACTCAAAACACATTTAAATGCAACAAATACAACATATAATACAAAAATTCACAAAAAAACAACAACTATTAAAAAGCAACCACTTAGAGGAGCATAGCTGGTAACTACCAGAGCTGACACACAAAACCTCAGAATGTTATCGCAGAATGAGCTGTTTCTATCTACAGACGGAGCAGGTCCTTCGTCGTCGTCGTTCAAGGAGATCGCCATGTTGCACCGCCATGTTTCTACAGTATCCCCAGAACGGACCAACCAAACACACGCTCTCGATAGGGCCATTAGTGTTTTCACAATGCAACCGTAGGTAGCAGTTCCTCCATGATGAGAGGGTCAAACATTTAAACATGATTTGTAATATGACACTGCTTCATTGAATGGCAATGGATTGCACTTGATAAGTGCCTTTCTAGACCTCTGACGAGTCAAAGCGCTTTGGCACTACATGTCAAATTCACCCATTCACACACTGGTGGCCAAAGCCACCATACAAGGTGCCACCCGCTACTCCGTAACCATTCACTCGCACTCACACCATGGAACCACCGTCAGGAGCAATCTGGGGTTCAGTATATTTTCATACTTGGACATGCAGACTGGAGGAGCCAGGGATCGAACTGCCGATCTTCCTCCTACCTCAAAGCCTCAGTTGCCCATAGATCAAGATGGGGCCATGAAGGATCCTGTGATAACCTATCGGCAACTGAGGCTTTGAGATAGGAGGAAGATCAGCAGGAGGAAGATCGGCAAGAGGAAGATCAGTAGTTCGATCCCTGGCTCCTCCAGTTTGCATGTCCAAGTATGAAAATATACTGAACACAATTTCAAACCTACATACACATCGAATAACGCATATAACTTTGTGTCACAATCACTCTTTGTCTAATTTATATCTCTGCTAGCTTACATCTGTCTCGCTGGCTGGTAGCTTAACGGCTAGAAAATACACCTATTGCGCATGCGTGAAAGTTTCAGTGTCTTTAATGGTGTTAAACAACAGATCCATTTGTTTCAGAGAGAAAGAGACCTCTGTGCATAATTTGGCTTATGATAAAAAGCTCATTAACATCTGGATCTTAAGGTATCAGAGAAAAAAGAAGAGCACACATTAACAGGTGCTGGGCTAGTGGCCCGTATCCGACATGCTGAAGAGCATTGGAGGAACACCAATTTGCAATGTAAAACTGCCTTATTCGCTGGTTTTACTGGTTTATATCACCTGGTCCATTTGTTTCGGAGAGGAAGAGACCTCTGCGGATAACTCAGCTCCTGGTAGAAACCTCCCCAACTATGAACACTGAAGGAATTCCAACTGGGAGAAGTTTCAGCTGGTTGCAATCTGTAGTCATCACCACTAGATGGCACTAAATCCCCCTAAATCCTACACACTGCTCCTTTTAATGACCCACAGTCAAAGTCATTTTTTCAATGGAGTGTTATACGATATTTTGAGTAGATTTTTTTGGTCCCATCTTATCTGCAATTTCCCCTCTCACGTGGCACTGTTGTTTGGTGGCTGGAGAAATGATTTGTTGCCTTTAGGAGTCTCTATCTGAAGCCCACAGCCCCAGTATGAAGTTTAATGTGAGGGTCAAGAGCCCAGATTTACCTTGTTTGACTCTGTACAAACCAATCATATGCAGTGATGCAAGTCTCATTCTGAAGCTTTCAACATAGATACAAAAACACTCAGGCACACACACATACACACTTCCACTCACCCACACGCACTCACACAAACACACACATTCACACACACAGGTTGGCCATCCTCTTTAAGAGAGGGCGGGTACCCTTCCTTTCACTGCTGTCTCCCTGTCTCCGGCAGGAGGTTGCCATGGAAACAGGGCTTGACTGGAAACAACAGGAGAGAAAGAAAGAAATCCGGTGCTCTGCCCACCTCTCCACCACTCCTCCTTTGTGTCCCTCGCTCAAAATACCCCTTTCCAACACACGATGCATTTCGAACTAATTACAGGTTTTCCATAGGGTAGGCGAGCTGGTGACCACTCTGCATGTCTTAGTCTACAAAAACAGTTAGAAACCTTTAAAGCTAAAGCTCCAGCAGAGTTACAGCATTATTTCTGTGTGTGCCCCCCCTCCCCACCATCCAGTAATAACACCATGTCCGCTCCTAACTCTAGACCCTTATTATGGGCCATTATGGCCACAGTCTCGGCTGAGAGGGCAGAGGAGGTGACGTCCTGATAGCTTTTATAAAAGCACCAGGAGTACAGTAACTGGGGATGCTGCAGTTGAAAATGTATCACTGTGTTTGCGACGATTGCATCTTCAGAAATGAGAATAGCTATTAGATATTGTAAATCTCAGCCATGCAGTTTCCAAGTTGTGCATCCTTCTACATCTTTTCTAAATCACTGTACAACTCAATCAGGTTTAATCTGGTGGATTTGCAGCTACTTTCCTTTGACAAGTAGTCTCCGACAGGTTTTTATTTTTTCTGACGTTCATCTCTTGAGTTATCCAGGATGTGCGCAGCCGGTTTTCATGGAGACAGAGAGGACAGAATGGCTGCAGGCTCTGGCAATATATCCAATCAGTTGTCCAGGGGAGAAGTTGTCACAACTTGTGGAATAGACGTTACTTTGTCATGCAGCTCAAGAGACAGAGACCCCTGCGCTCGCTGGCTCCGAGGCTCAGAGGATCATGGTTAATCACATGCTGGCCAGTCAAATGTTGCGCGGGTTTTTCTTGGTTACTGTGCAAAGAGAAGAATCAAAGACGAGACAAAGCTAGTCTGCTAATTATCAGGATGTTCTGTGAAAAGAATGCAGCAGTGAACGGGTGGATTTAGACTTTTGTGTTGTCCTCGGGCCTTTTATGTGGAAGTTTGTCATTATCATGAATATGATTCTCTGTCAGCTGCACATGTAGAGGAGCAGAGTGCTCAGCAGAGTGGCACTCATGCATGCACACATACTTTTAACTTGGACATGTTAAGTATTCACACACACTCAACACACACACACACTCAATAACAAATGTACCCACTGACTCCCGTGTCTGTGTCCCGTCCTCGCAGCACACACAGACCCCAACGGCCTGTCGCCAAGGCAGATCAAGAGTGACAGCGATGACGACGACCTGCCAAACGTGACCTTGGATAGCGTTAATGAGACCGGCTCCACTGCGCTGTCTATAGCCCGCGCCGTACAAGAGTGAGTATCATGATCTGTGCACATGTGTGTGTGTGGAAGTGTTGAGTCTCTATACTGACTTTTTCTCCTCTACTGACCTCAACAACTCTAAAAAAAATCCTTGTATCTCTGTCTTTAGATTCTATTTCTGTTCCGTCCTGTCACAGGAAGATGTTTGGGAAGTACAGTCTTGATCCAAACACTCTTTACTGTTGGCTGCAGTTATATTCGGTGATATGGGAGATTCAGTTTAGCCCACTGCTACAGTACAGTATTCTTAGTGTTGGAGAAAGACATTTTTTTCTCAAACTAACTTTCCTTCACATTATTACGTATTCAAATAGCAAAGAGATACATCATAATGTACCTGTTTATTTAAACAACTGCTTTATAGCACATTAAAGTAGCATAACATCTTTATGCAACATTGATACAGCAGCACACCACTATTTGCTATGTGAAGATATAATGGAGTAATGGCGTCCTGAACAGTGAATGAAGTCATGCTACCTCTGTGTGTGTTCCCATCAGAGCGTCTCTGTTTATTGTTGGTAAGCCTGTCCAGATGTATGTACATGTTGTTTAAGTGTGTATCCTACTGGGTAACTCATCACTGCCACTTTGTATCGTGCTCTCGAGACTGCGGCTTGGGCGGCATAATTCTGACACAGTTAACCTAACGTTATCGAAGCACTGAGTTGGTCCCTGTCATTCTGCTGTTGTTACCATGGTTACAGCTTGCCTGTATGCCATCATTACACATGTGGCACCTTGTAAATGACCACTGATCTATATAGGTTCACACAGGTTGATTGTTATAACACACACGTCACACAAAGACACGCACATTACACAATGTGTTACTAATGACGCGTGTCACATTCTCATCTGAACAAACTCTTCTTGAACTGTTACTGCTGTTAAATAAATGATTTAGGTAATCTAATGCTCATGGTGTATTTGGAGTTATCTTAGAGGAAGAGGATAGTATCCACCATTGATGGCTTCAGCGATGTCCTCTTCTGTTTGATCAGTCTTCCTGCAACGCTTAAAGCAGGATTTATACTTCTGTGTCGAATCGACACCATAACCTATGCTGTAGCCTGACATGCACCTCCCCAGTAATGTATCTACACGTCATGGCGACACAGATTTTTGTAAGCTGAAACCATTTCCCTCAGTGGAAACAAGCTTTTATTTACTTTAATTTCACAGATAAGACACAATAAATTGTGAAGACAATAAAGCCTCCACAAAATAGCTTTTTAAGTCCTGTGTGTGATTTATCCTGGCTTCATATGAGCAGAGGAAATCTCCGCTGTCGTTATATTTGTTTGGGAAAAGTGTTTAGTATAAGACAGTTGTTTGTCAGTGAATCTTGTGAGTTGTATGGAGCCAAATTGTGTGATGTTACCTTTGTTAAATATTGCTGTTGTCCCTGGTTTTATACGAGTAGATGAAACATCCACTAACTGCTAAGCTAATTTATACATATATTTATATATATCATTGATGACATTGTTTCACGTATTTCATCAGAAACTTACATGAATATATACCACCTTGAATAACCTATGTGTTGCATTTATGTGTTGTCACATAAATAACAAACCCCAGCAATGAACAAGACAGAGAGAGTTCCTTATAGGCTGAGCACGACCTGATGTAAATATCCATCTGCACCTGGCCCGACCTGTGGAGTCCCATCAGGCTCAGGTCAGGTATCTACACTCTACTGCACTCATACAGTGTTTATGGCTGATATCAGAAAGGCGTTGTCGCCAAGCTACCGCTGTTAGCTCTGTCAGCACTGTTACAGTTGTTTAGCACTGTTAATGGAGTTAGCACTGTTAGCTGCTATGTACTGGCTCAGCCACTTTAATGTTGAGAACCATGTCCAGCTAAAATTCACATAGAGCCCCTTTAATAAACACAGATCTCTATTAGGGGCTTTTATTTTGAAAAGCTAGTCCTCTGCAGTGTTCCATTGTAGGCTGCCAATAGTCACTCTTTCCCTTGCCATTAGCCATTCTTATATCAATTTAGTGAGGTTTTGGGTCTCAAACTATTAAGAAAATGTAAATGTCAAATTTAAAAGAGTGACATTTATTAGTTTAACAGCATGAAAGTTTGATAAAGTTTGTATGAAGCACACAAATTGAACAAGTACAGAGGACATTAAGAGCTCTGACATGGCATTACAGAGTTCAGAGTACAAAGGTTTAAAATGTTTTCCCTGACACTGCTCATTGTTAGTCACCCTGGATGAGAGCATCATTTACATATGAACCCAGTGCTGAACCAATTATTGTGCATCTCTCTGCGCTTTTTGTAACCGCTCTTCCACATTTGGATGTATATGCGTGGGCGTGCATCTATATGGCTGAATGCATATGGCTCAGACATACTTTATGCCCAGACATCACAACTCCTGTGGTGCCAGTCCATCTGTGTTGAATGTAAAGACTTCCCTCTCCAGTGGATGACGGCTTACAGTATTCTGATCAGAAACAGGAAATCAGACACGGGGAAACATTTGGCTCGGCAGTGCCCTCCTCCCCTGCCGCCCATAAACACAGAACAGTCATAACCAGCAGCCTGGCCAGACTCAAGTTAATGCCCGTAGGACTTTTATTTAGACTAACTGTAAGGAAAGTATTCCAGGACTCTGTGAGAATCCTGCTAATGATGTAGGAACATTAACAAGGCTGAGGCTGACGGTCGCCCGACCCCAACTGGCTATGTTTTGGTGGTTTCAGTCCAGCTCACGGGGTTGTGTACAAGACATTGTATTGTTTGTTTATGCACTGTTGGCTGTGTGAACATCTACAGTAATGAAACTAAATGAGTTATTGTGGTGGCACTGTGCGGCGCATTGTGGTAAAGGCTCGTTCTCTTGCTGTGCTTGTTCAGTGGTACAAGTAGAGGCTGCCATGTTTCTGGGAAGACACACACACACACACACACACACACACACACACACAGAGACTCACTGGAGGACTCAGGTTTCAATGCAGGTTATTGAAAGGGACAGGCATGCCCCTGAGTGCCACACGTGGGCACCGGGTGGTCAGAGGAGAACAGAGGTTGGCAGGACCCAACCTTTCACTGCCCAAGCTTTCACTATGGAGAGAAATCACCAGCCAGGCTTAGCAATGCCCTGCCAGGGCCTGCCCACACACTCACTTCTCTGTGTGCAAAGTGCAGTCTGTGCTGTGTGGAAACTGTGCTCCTGTGTGTACGTGACTGTGTGTGTGAAAAAGTATGCGTGCACGTCTGTAAGTATTAATCCTCCGGTGTTTGTGTGTGTGTGTGTGTGTGTGTGTGTGTTTTGTACTGTATGCATGCACGTGTTTTCTGCACAGTGGACAGAACAGCTGGTTCCAGAAGGAGGTCAGCCATTGTCAACAGGAACACAGACTTGCATGTTTGTCTGTGAAAAACAAAGCAGTCTGTAGTCTTCTTGAGTTACACGCCGGTTTGGCCACATAGAGGAAGAATGTGCATTCTGTATTGACACAACACATGCGCTCTGTGGACATCTGCAGCGCAACAGAAGCCGACAGGCACTTCTTTTTTGAAACATATCGGCCCATTGTGTCACTGTGTTTCTCCTCTTTTCATTTTGACGTGCGCACCGTGAGCGGGCAAAGATTTGCTTTATGTAATTTAGTATCCACATTTACAAAAGCAGTCATCCAGAGAGCATCAGAGAAGAGGAGTGTAAGGGCGGAGGATGGGAGTGCCTGCAGCTTCCAATCCAGGTATCCATATATAAATAAATGAGTGAAAGGAGAGAGTGAGATAGAGAGAGTGTGTGTGTGTGTGTGTGTGTGTGTGTGTGTGTGTGTGTGTGTGTGTGTGTGTGTGTCATGTGCTTCTTGGGCAGCCTCCTCCATATTCATGCGTTTCCCTGGGGACGGGTGGATAGGCTATTGTGGGAGAGCGCGAGTGAAAGAGAGGAAGACAGTCAGAGAGAGAGAGAGGAGATAGGTGTGTGTGTGTGTGTGTGTGTGTGTTGGGGTTTAAGGGCTTGTGTTGGATGGGTTGTCTCTGCTGAAGTCTGGCTGGTCCCCAAGGACCTGGGGGCCATGAAGCAGAGCAGGTGGAGGGAGGGGAGGCAAGGGGTAGTATCTTCGGACAGGTACAGGAATGCCCAGTGGGCAGTCTGCCAATGCACGCACACACACACACACACACACACACACACACACACACACACACACACACACACTCCCTTTCCTGTTTTCTCGATAAATCCACTATTACTGCAGGTCTGTTTAAAAACCGTGTAGCTCTGCTGCTGTGTTCAAACGCTCTGTTGTTATGACCTTGTTTCCTATGAGAAGTTAGAAAAATATGTATTGTGTTTGCATTGTGGGAAACCCCTGTTGCAGGTGACACACACACGCACACACTCCCTCACTCTCTCTCTTTCTCTCGGTCTTGCTGCCGTTTACTCGTGGAGAGCAGACGGGGGGCAAAAGAGAGGGAAACAAAGGAACTATAACAGAGGTCAGCTCTGTTTGAAATCGTTCTCAGCTGTACTTCCTATTTTTTCCTCGGCTGCTTTGGGAGACACAAACAGACACATTCACACAGCCATGATGATGCTGCGGTGACACAGGGTTCAAGGCAGTTTGAGTTTGCCCCTGGGCTCACATGAGAAAATACAACGAATCGATTCTCACAAAACAGCTATGACACATATAGCCAGAGCTGTGCTATTAAAGACATAAAGATTTATTGTTTATGTGAAAAAAATGCAGCCTGCTCACAAGTTTTTTTGACAGATATTTAGTCTCAATAACTGGGAAAGTTACTCAGCTGAGCGCTTGATAAAAGGCATAACCTTTCCATATTATGATTATACGTACGTAACAGTACATTTAACTTTTTAAAGGGACAGTTCCCCCAAAAATCAAATATATATATTTTCCCTCTTACCCGTAGTGCTATATATCAGTGTCGATTGTTTTGGTGTGAGTTGCTGAGTGTTGGAGATATCAGCTGTAGAGATG